GTTAGCAGCCGAGCTCTTAACCACTATGCCACCAAGGCTCCTTCAAGTAAGGAGCTAATATTAAATTTGGCTCAGAAGCTTTCCCTTCCAACTCTTTCTCCAGAATTACTTAATCTCTCAGAGTCTCATAGTTCCCAAAGAAAGCATGCTTTAGTAGAAAATGCAGTTGTAAAAATTCGGTCGAGGAAAATTACCTTAAAATAGCTGAAATCAAATATGATATCGCCGTATTTCTGTTGGTCAGCTCGGTCCTTTAACCTGAACACAGCAGGAATAAACTCAGAGAGCCTCAGAAGTTCAGCAATGATGGCATTGCCACAGGAAACAATCCTCAGGATTGCCTGGCCACAGAGGTTGTTCTCAGCTAGAAAATCCAACATAGTGAGGGTGGCCAACTACTCCGGGCCTCGCCAGTGGGGTGTTTAGTTGGCTTCGGGCTGGAGCCTGAAGATCATGAGATGAAACCAGGGCTGCTGATAGACTGACTGCTCCATTAAAGAACCTGCATCCAAAAATTTTTTTTAAAAATATGAAAATCATCATTTTTAAAGGAAGCATGTGTGTACACATATGCAAGACATGCATGAAATTTTTCTTCCAAACTCACTAAAAAAACTGTAACAAATAATGAATTCTGCTACAGAATTCATGTTTTCCATGCAGCACTCTGGGCTTTCTCAGCACTTCATGCACTTCTCCCCATGAGAAAAGACGTGATTGGGCACATGTGGTTCTAACGTACCCTCAATTGCACAGCCTCTTCCCTACTGTTTGATATATCAGCAAGTAATTGCAAGCACTCTAAACAAAGCTGGGAGATGCATCCCTGTACATCATTTTAAGGCATTTGTCCAATTCTTTCTTGGAGATGGAATTGCAGGGTTACGGCATAAACATGTTCAAGGCTCCTTTTAAAAGTACAGATGCTAGGTTCTGCAAAACGTTGTCAAGGTGGTTTATAAACAGTAAACCAAAGTGGTCCACAAGTCTCCTAGAATACAGCACTCAGGCATCTAGCAGTGTCAGCGGGATCACCGACTTGTATTCTGGAGCAATGAATGAGAATGGTTACAGCACTCTGC